GTGATTCAATAATAAAGTATGATATCCTTGGGACAGCAATTCGTGCAGTCGCCTCCATAAGGATCGATCACCTATAGGTAGTAGAATAAACAAGTTGTCCATGTTAAAGGAAATGAAAAATAGCTGTCAAAGTTCAAACCTGGTAATGTCCAATGGAAAGTTACCTTCATGGGAAATACGACATCTTTGTGATCGGGACCAAAGAAGCAATTGAGATGAAGAACCATGTGAAGACATCATGAACGGGACTGTAAATTCCCAAGAAAGCTTTGGTAAGCTTGGGTAGTTATAAAGGTAAAGGATATGGAGCAGATCGTGGGTAGTAATACGCCAGAGTTTTTTTCGGGGAAATGAGATAGAGGCAGAACGTGGTTCATATGTATGGATAAACGGTTATTAAGTCAATAGTCAGTAATTTCAGAGAGGATAAGTGAAAAGGAAGGTTATTATTCGACCTTTCAATTATGAAAGTTGCAATGGAACAATTTTCTTTGAGTTGGTTTAAATGTCAAAGGAGCCAAATGAAGCTTAGGTTTAACCTTTGGTTAAGAGGGTTGAATTATTGATTTGGACAAGGTACGGCGTCGGGAGTTTGCATTGTCGGGATATTCCACAATTAAGCGAATGTAAAGGAGACCAAAGTAGAATCTAGCAAGTGAGTCTTTCAATTCATTTCCATTTGGCCAATAGAGCTTTGGCCTCGATTACAAAATCTCTCAACTCAATTTCAAGCCTATGATTTTCATCCATAATTTCTGCTCTCTTCTTCTCATGAACTCTGACCATTCCAGTGGTAGCATCAAATTCTTTCTCCAACTCCCGACACTGCTTTATCTTGCGTGTGAGTGTAGGACAAAAGTTCGAGACTGTGAGCTTCTGCTCTTCTATTTGGGTAACCACCATCCTCAGCTCTGCCTCAAGCTCTTCTTTCCTGGTCTCCAAGCGTTGAAGTTTGCTCTCCTCAACTTTAAAATTGTTGTAGAAAAGACGAGTATCTTCACGCTTACGGGCTAACTCATCTTGGATTGCCAATCCTCGGTTTTCCCCAAAAAGAAGATGGGGGAGTTGATCAAGGTTGACTCTAATTGTGGTCACAACGTCCACGAAGCCAACAGTGAAGAAATCAATATTGTCCTGGAAAGGCTCAGATAATATGAAGGATGGATTACTAGAACATACTTCCTGGAAGAGAATCCTCGCTTGGCGCTCCTTATCAGAGTCATTGATCAATTTCCCATAGCCGGGTTCCAATAAGTTAAGGAGTTGTTCCCAATTAGCTTTGGCTACTTCTTTGGAAATTTTGGCAAACATTGATAAAGCTAGAGACTCTGAAGAATCAGGAGCTGTAGAAGAGCTAGGATGAGTACCTGCTAATATCCTCTCCATTTCCGCCTGTTCAGCCTGAGAGAAAATTTCTATCTTGGCAGGTGGACTGGGTACAGCATAAGATGTTGAGGGAGGCAAAACAGTAATTGCATAAGAAGCAGGTAGTAATGGCACACTTGATGCTCCTTCGGAAATTGGAGTCTCTTGAGGCGCAGAATTGGGTTCATCAGTAACTGCAAATATTGGCATATGTATATTAGACGACAGCATAAAATCTTGAGTCAAACAAAGGGTAATAACATTTACCGATGAGAGCTGGAGGAAGATCTTTTTCAGATCCCACAACATTGGCAGAAGTATCCTTTGGTGGTATGCTCTCTTTAGGATCTGGAATAGAGGATTGTTCTTGAACCAACTCAGCATTAACATCTGTCAAAGGAGCAATAATCACTGGTAAAGGATTGGAAGCTGATGTGGCAGGAGCCTTGCTAAGAAGAGAAACAGGAGAAGCAGCACTGGACTGGTAGGTCTTAAGAGTTCCTGGATTGATCAGAAGATAAACAAGTTAATGCTAATATATACAATAGTAACCTCCAAACGTAAAGCATAAGAGTTACCTTTCGGAGTGTGTGGCTTTATCATAGCTCGAAGTGTGGGCTCTGGAGATTGATTCACTGCTGGAGAACTCTCTGGAGATGATTCTGAGGATCGAATAATCACTCTCCTAACATTACGTTTTGCTGTTACTTTCTCTGGAGCAGATGAGTCTGAAGCTTTCCTTTTCTTGCTCACTATAAGAATAAGAAGTCAGATTGAAGATTGAGCATCAAACAAAATATATATATATATATATTGAAAGGCAGAATCAAGTTAACTTTAGAAGGCTCTGTTAGTTTAGTTGAAGACACATTTGCAACTTCAATTGCTTTTGGCACTGTAAGAGGAACATCATCCTTTATCTTCAAAAGAATATGATCTAGAGGATCTGAAAACACAGTCTTTCGATAACCATCCCACCAGAGGTCGAAATCAGCTAAAGAACGGTCTGGGTATCCAGTAAATTCGGCATTACGCGACAATCGGTAAATACCCCGTACCAGTGTGGTCAGCTCAGTAAAAGGTTGATCATCTTTCAGCTTGCAGGATATTTTATCGAAAGAAGCAAAGGAGAAGGTATAAAGGGCTGGAACAGGAACCCCTTGAATCAGCCCAAGTTGTCTGGCACAATACTGTGGAAAGTAAATTTCAAAGCCAGCAACGAATCTGCCTTTTGTTGAAAATCTCACAGGGAGATCAACAGAGATAAGGACAGTCTGCCAGAAGTCACTTCTATTTTTCTGGAAAGCAGGAAGGTAAGACTTGAATTAAGGAACAAAGAAAGGAGAGAAGGAATATGGGTTTTCTTCAACAGAATAGATTCGAGAAATAAAGTACCGAAAATAAGAAGATGGTTCTTTGGAAATAGGGATCAATTTCCTACTCAAGGCCTGGCAGACTGGTTGGTCAGGAATAGAAACTGAAAGGGGTTGGAGAACTTGATCCTTGAAAAACCAAGCAGGGAAATAGAAAGCTACCCATGCTTGAAGAAGCCAAAGAGGACCACCAAAAACTCCACTAACTTCGTCTGAAGCAATGGAGGAGGAAGCATGGGCTAAACTCCGATATAGCAAGGCTAACATTGTTTTGCCTAGAGCAAGTGAGGTCCTTGAAGCTAAAGCAGAGGCAACAGCGACAAAATCATTCAAGACCCTAATTATGGGGTGGCAGAAAAGGAATTTACAGAGCCAGTACAAAAGAAAAGCAGTGTGTTCCTCGTCGGTAACTGTACTTTCATTCTTAAAATATTTCTTAATGAATGCCCCATAGGCCATTTCAGAATCAGACAGTTTACCAAGCAGTGAACGAGAATCGGGAGACAGGGTAGATGGGTCTGTACCTAAAGGAGAGAGCCCAGTAAGGCACTATACATCAAGCAAAGTTACTAACATAGGAGAGAAAGGGAAAAAGAAGCAATTAGTGGAAGTTGACCAAAAACAAGACAGTGCGCTGATAAGCTCGTGATTCAAATGGTAATCGAAGCAGCTAAGACGCAAAGCATTATGGATTAAAAGGGTATCCCAAAGAGGACCCTTAGAAGAAAGGAGTCGAAGGTACCATTGGTAGAAATCAGGCTCAAAGTCGGAAAAAGCCCTAAGGCGAGGGGGACGAGAATGCCACTGATACGCCAAGATAGATGATTCATGGACTGGAAGTACCTCAAATTGGTGACGTGGGAAGTGGCTTGATAGGCATTTTGGAACAGAGAAATGATTGTGAACTGCTGGGCCAAGGATGTAAGAATCTTCGTAGTCATTCTCCACAGAGAGCAGATGAAATTCTTCGTTGAAATCCTCGGAATCTCGGAATAAATGGTACCGATCAAGGGCGTCTGATGCGGAAAAGGAAAAAGCTTGATCCTTGGAAGCTTTGGAAGCCATTAGGTTTAGACGAATATTGAGAGAGAGTGCAGAGGGTCAAAGAGTTGCAGAGAGTCGAAAAGTTGAGAATGCAAAAGAACGAAGAAAGGAACGATTTTTAGAAGAAATGTTTTGAAGACGAAAGGGCAAGCGCGCGAAGCGAGGTGACGAAGCAATAGCAAGAGTAAAACGTAAGTACTGTTTTTTTTTTTTTTTTGCATTTAAAAGAATTAAAAGTTCTTTTAATCCTTTTAAAAGGGGGCATCTGTTGACACCAAAATAAGAATCGGCATAGACGCTGAGTCGGCTTCAATGCCGAATCTGATGTATAATGGAAATCAACCATCTTCCGAAATACGTTTGGATAAGATTCGGAAACATGCTGGGAAGTAAGCGTGAATGGCATCATATCTCGAATTCGGTAGTTGATGAATATCGGTATGTTTACCGAAACATGGAAAGTCATAGTTCGGGAATATAAAGAGCGTTGGAACGTTTATGCCTCGAGACGTTGACTCTTTCCAAAATTCGGGAAGTTTACACTTCGGGAATATACCGAAATTATAGAGAATCGGTAAAGATGAATCACAGCCCAGCCACGAAAATCACGATAGCAGGAAGTTATGAGCAAAAGGCGGAAATAGTGAGCACGAGCATATTATGGGGAGTTACTTGTCCAAATTTGAAGTCGTCCCAGCGGTTGAGATCAAGTTTTGGCGGACAATAAAACTGGAAAAACGTGGTTAGAAAAGGCAGTTATTGGAAGCGCCAAAATTCAAAATTTGAAAATATATAAGTAACCGACAAGCAGTTACAGGATATGAAGAGATACAAATATTCAGAAGAAAGAAGGAAGGGGAATCACCAACAACAATGCAAAAACACTCAAGACTATCTGCACTTTAGTTTCTTCCGTACCTTTACTTCCTGCATTTACAGCTTTCTGCAACATTAGTTAGCCTTCAAGTTCTTTACAGCTTTCGTAGGAGTATTGTAACTTAGCTTGGAACTCTGCTAATCTCAGATCCATTTTCAATCCATTCGAATTATATCCGTTCCATATAACCTTGTGCCCACTTTGTTTCCTTCTTTGCCACAACTCTCCTAGAAATCAAGCCACAGAACCTATCTTAATAAAAACCGAAAATCAAAGTTTCGGTGAAAGATATTCCTCGTCTCAAAACGAGCGAACAGGTTGTATTTCAGACGACGGCTCACTATTAGTGATGCCCCATAATTATCAGGATAGTAGTCATCATTACATGAGAAAGATAAAAAATGAACGGCGGAGGGATATCAAGATTTTTATGGGATACGTGCCGTGGCGCCTATATGATACAATGAATGATACTAATCCTATTTAGATCAACCGGTGCTGATTGCCAAGCCCACCAGACGAGGTCCACTCAAGTCTGTTCCGCTCTGTATGTATTAAGGTCGGTATGAGTATCGCTGTAGCGCTGGCTCAGGTAAGTCGCACATTTGATAGGAGGAAACCTGGCAACAGAGAGAGCATACTTAGTCAGTTCAAGAGCCACAGCCGTTCCACAAATATACACCAAAAGTACACCAGATTTGTGGCATCCCAGAAAAGCAAAAGAGAATGGCCAGAACAAGGAATTTTCCACAATGTACTTGCCAACTTATACAGCATTAAGCAAGAATGGCCTAATCTATCTTGCCCAGTGACTTACGAACTGGCAGGCCTGATACTAAGACTTCAATCAAGATATAATTGAAAATCGGAACTTATGGAGACTAGGGCATGTGCATGAGTATACCTAGTGTCACAGGAATGAAAATTTCTCACTGAGATCTGGAGGAAGTATATGGTGGAATTGGGAAAATCATTTCCCAAAATATGATGCACAAAGTATATTCTATCGTAGACTAGAAAAGTAGAAATGGAGAAAAACACCATTTATACACATGACTTCTAACACAAATTATCCACTAGCACTGACTAAATGGGCCTCATGTTGGTTAAGGTAAGAATCAACAGCATAAATACTCAGTTATTATCAGCACAACCAGGTTCTTACTCGGATCATGGTGTTCTGACTTACTTGGGAGGATTTTCGTCTGACTTGCAGGATGGCAGGCACTCCACAAGACATTCATGGCTAGGTTCTACAAAATACGCGATCTGCATAAAGAACAGAGTTATTAAGAAATGGACGACCCTTGATTTTCTCAAGCAGCAACTTATCTGCTCAACACTCACCCCTTCCCTCCCCAAAAAAAAAAAAAAAAAAAACAAAGCAGCAGCAGCAATCTTCTATTGTAGAGAAAAGTACAGCGGACTGCCAAGTAATGGTAACAAATATGAAGTCAAAGAACATGGCCTTTACAAGGAAGTGATAATTGCTATATATAGGTTGAACAACGACAATGTGCTATTTCAAGTTGAGCTCAAACTGACTTATCAAAGTGTTATAGAAACAGGATCTTTACCACTTAGTTTTTCCCAATATGACAACAACCAAGTGTTTGCTCTCAGCGGGGGAAAAAGGTGAGTTATTTAAGAAATCTTTGTGAATAACTTATCACAAAAGCAGATAAACAGCAAGATTCACTCTCTGGAGGAAATTGTTAAACGCTTAAAGAGGCCTTCAAAGCCTGAGATAAGGCAGGAGATTTACGGAATATCTCTGCTGGCCATTTCCTAGTACTCTGTGCAACGTGGACCTGACAAAAGCAAAAGCAAAGTGCATCAGTAAAAGAAATAAAACATGTAGAAAGAACATAAAGCAAGTTGAGGAAAGAGTTCTGAACATGTTCACTGGAGGAAATATGACATGGTAATGAGATAAGCATTCCGTAAAACCCAATTTTTCTGTGAAGCTTTCTGGTGGCGGGTCTCATGCTCATTTCATGGATTATGATTTGGCCATGAAATAAGCATGGAGAAAAAAGAATGTTCTTAGAAACTTCTAGATGGTTTTGAATCTGACTTGACTGCCATCTTTACTTCCTTGAACACGGAGAACGTTGGTGGGAAAAAAATACAGATAGATAATTGCTTTACTCAGATCACAAACACATGAAAAAAAAGACTATCCACACATTGGGTTTTATAAAACTAACTATATCTGTAAAACTGGCATATAGGAGAAAACATGGCCAAAGATCAGGGCATAGCATTTTTTTTCTCGAGACCAACCTCTATCTTAATCAAGTATACAGTGCACCTTTATATATTTGCACACCAGGAAGATGAAAGCAATTTTTCAGAACCCAGACAAGACGTATGATTTTAGACCAGCTAAATGTGGCACTCACTCAGTCTTGAGCCGCTCCTAGCTCCTAGCAGTATACTTATGCCACACCTGACATGCAAATGCATTTTCAGTTAATTTTAAAGATGAGAGATGTCCTTACTTGAAGATACAGTTGCTCCACCGCTCCAGCATATCACCAAGATTTACAGTGAAAGCTCTGCCAGCAACAAGTCAATGACAAAACTTGTCATTTTTCGTAGAAAATAATAAGTGCTTTTCTGCGATCTCTTCTATACCTAAACTTCAAGGTCAATTAACCTTATTGAGCTTAGCAGGCTCCGATGCCATGCAAAGAAGTTTCCTTGAAAGGAATAAACACCAATACAAGCAGGAAAACTTTGACTTATGGTTCATCAAGAACCATGTGATTTTAGAAAATGCATATGTCGAGGTTTATTGGGGATTTGTATGACTTCAAGCCAATACCATGACCTAATTTTACCAAGACATAAAGAACCTTTCATGAGATTATAGACAATATGGGCAAACACTGAAATTGCTTGGTATGAAAAAGAGGAAGAGTTGATAAAAATATGGCATGACGACGTATTACATACACAACTGGAAGATTTCCTGTCTTATTCACAGAAAAGGAATTGGGTAAAATCAATGTATCATAAAGAGAATATAACTGAAAAAACAGAAAAACTGGAACCTTAATCTTTTTCAGCAGAGTTTACAATGACCTACCCTTTGACTGGTGCTACATATTCCCAAACACGAGGACTGGCATCCTTATCCCTGCATATCTACAAAACACGATAGGATCCATTGAAAATAAGCAAATGAGCTAGTTGGAGCACAGAAGATGATTAATATAATATCTTTTAGCATGCTTCATACTTGTAGACCTAACACATCATCTGTTGCCAATAGGGTAATTAAACCATAGTCAGAATGAGCTCCTGCTCCGTAGATTCCTTGTGAGGGATTAGAAACTTCTCCTACATTACAATTTAAATTTCAGTATAACTTAAAAGAAAATTATCTTGTTTAGCTGCAGAGACCTAAAATGAAATTTCACCTCCATAGTGTAGTAAACGCAATGTGGCAATAGGCTTGCCCAGCATTTCTGGCTTATCAAAGAAATCAACTTCCAGATCAAGTGCAAGTGCTATGATCCTTGCCACTGACTTTGCTACCTCCCTAAATGCACATCAAACATTAGAAAATATAAGTGGCTGATTTTACAACAAAACAACAGAATAAAGAAGATGCAAATTATCTATATTGTGGGTATTATAAGTTTGTAAGACTTACAATGCCTTTTGGTGATACTTCTCCATAGTTTCTCTCCATCCAGGCAATATTTCTAGCAAAGAAAGGAAGAAGAATATCTGTTGAAGCATAACTGACATGTCTGCGGTACCTTATAGCCAATAATCCATCCTATTGATTTCTCACCAGAAGCAGGCCAAACATTCGGCCCGTAAAAGGGTTTTTGTGCTTCAGGATCATCCTCGGGAACTTCCACACCAATATAATACCCCTCTTTGTAATCTCCTACTGACATATAACAGGACATCAAAGTTATCGGTTAACATCTGCCCGAAAAATCAGGACAATGCTACAAGTCAACCCACCACCAATCGATGTGCAGGGACATGTTTTTAAAAAAAACAACCATAAATACACTTTTGTCCGCATGCTTTCGTCTAATTTCCGATTTCAGTCACGACTCACATCTATCTGTGTTCTTATTCACTGAACAAGCTCTTCATAAACGACTCATGGCCTTTCTAGCTCTGAAAAGCTCGCGTCTAGATTTTCTCGATACCGATCTTCTCTCCTATTAATTTTTCAGTAACAAGATTTCGGTTCCGGAAGCAGACCTCGCTATAACCGATTCTCTAACGCACCTGAAGAATTCTTTCCCGGTACAGATCACAGACAGCGACGCGCGTGCGCTACAGCGCGCGAACACACGTACCTCCCGCCCCCTCGCACGACACGCACGCAGGGAAATACTGAACGAACAGACGTTTGGAGAGAGGACCGAACCGTGGAGCTGATTTCCAGGATCCAGGAGCTCGTCGAGCAGCGGAGTGTAGCCCCGGTGCTTCTCGTTCCTCAGGAGCTTCATCTTCTCCGCCGCCGGCAGATCGAAGAACCGCCGGCTCTGCTCGAAGACCTCCTCCATGAACTCGCGGCTCATCCCGTGGTTCGTCACGTAGAAGAATCCACAATCCAAGCACGCCTGCGCGCACACACAAAAGAAAACGCCGAGCTCAGAATCAATCCGTCGAACTCGAAATCGAAATCGGCGACGCCTCGACGAGAGCCGCCGCGAGTCATCGAGGAGGACCTGCTTGAGGAGGGCGACGGACTGGCGGACGTCGGAGGAGGAGAGGTCGATGCAGTTGAGGGTGGAGACCTTGGCGACCTCGAAGGCGCCATTGCCGCTCTGCTTCGCCATTGTCGTTCGGACTCGGGGAGCTTTTGCGGATCAAACGTTCGCTCTCGTGGCAACAGTTGGCGAAAGACCAGGGGAATTGGTGGCTTCGTATTTATACGTGCAAAACGGAGGGAGATGGAGCGGCGTCGTTTGTGGGCGGTTCTGGTTCTTTGCGTGGGGGGAAATGGAGTATATAGCGGTTGCGCTCGTGCCACCTGTGGCTCCGCTATTTTCCATTATTTTAAATGATGACTATTTCTCTTTTAAACATGTAAAATTATTTTCAAAAAAAAAAAATTCATGACAAATTGATGGAGTAATTACTTGGCCAGCGCTTTGCATGGATAATGTTTGGGGTTAGTTATCCATTTGAGCATAAAATATAGCGAGTAATAAATATTTAGGATAAGTGCATTGAAAGTCGTAAAACTTATAAAAAAAGTGCATGTGAGTCCTAAAACTTTCAAAAAGTGCAATCCAGTCCTAAAATCTATCATGAAAGTGCAATCGAGTCCTAAAACTCTCAAATAGTGTAATCAACTAAACAACTTTATCGGATCAATTTAACAAGTTTTAGAAAAAACTTTATTGCTTTTTTTTGAAAATTTTAGGACTCAATTGCATTTTTGTAACAAGTTTTAGGACTTAATTGCACTTTCGTGAAAAATTTTAGGATTTTCAATACACCTGTACCTAAATATTTTATAATCAATCAATGGATAACAACCTTTCCGACTGCTGTCTCGTCCTCGAGGCCCACTCCATCAACGAGATTTCCAAGTGGCGGAACTTCGCCAACAAGTCCAACGACAACGGCCTCATCCACGTCGGCAGGCCTTACGAAACCCTCCTCATCAGCAACAGCCTCTCCACCGTCATCTCCCAGCCGAACGGCTCCTCCGACGAGTTCCTCAACTTGTCGCCCGGCAAGTGGCAGGGCCGTGGTGCCAACCCCAACCGCAACGTGATTCAGGCATTCAGGTTCATCGCAATCATGTCCAATAGTAATGTGCCTCACATTGATTCTCACATTGCATTTTGTGGTTTCGTTGTAGGTACAGACAAGTTAGCTGTTCGCTGTTTGCTGTTCCTCAATGAGTTGGGGTTGTCTGTGGTGCCAACCCCAACTTGTTGTCACATATGTCTACAAAAAGAAGATTTTATCAAACATTCGACCTTGCGAGTTCCAAAATTTCGAATTCAGAAGGGACTCGTTTGAACGTCGCTCTTATTTTAGTAGTATCATGTAACAAATGTAGTTTAGTGCTATCAAAATGTCCAATTTACTATAATACCACCCAAATCTATAACACAAAATAGTGCATAGTGATACTTCATTCACTATTGTCTCGAAAGGCATACTAAAAACTATAAATTACATACTTACCTTAAACTTTTTTATGTGACATCAAAAATCCAAAATTTGTATCTGTGTGATATAATTATCCTCCGTTAAGGTTCCCTCAGCGAGCATTGTTAAAAACCTACCTACATAGATGTCGAAAGGCAAATGGTGTTGATATGATATTCACGTGGTTTAAATGAAATAAAAATGACGTTGTTTTCGTTGGAAAATCAGCTCACGGAACATTGACGGAGCGTAATTGTGTCACATAGATATAAGTTTCGGATTTTTTTTGTCACAAGAAATTTTTTTATGATAAATGTGTAGCAATAGGCATAGTTTAGGATTGTTGATGTCATAAGAAAAAGTTGAGAATAAAGGCATTATAATGGGTATATTTTGAGATTTTTGATGAATTTTTTCCCTCTTATTTTTAACTTTTAATTCCGTTTCCTCGAATTTTTAGAGCTTGAGATCGGACTATTATCTAATGTCGAGCACCTCAAATCTGGAAAAAGCACAAAATAAAGTCCTTTCAAGTCATTCGTGTTTCGTTAAAAAAGAACAACCCTAATACAAATATATTCAGCAACGTGACGACCCTTTTTTGACAAAGGTACCGCCGCCACTGACGACTCGTGCGTTCGTCCGTCCGTTCGTTCGGCTGCTTTTTCTTGCACGAGACGAGACTTCCTGGTTCGAGAGTCACCCACTAGTCGTCGCGGGCCCCGCCTTCGCGACAGGCAAACGCAGTGGCATTCCACCTTTGCGTTAGCGGAAGAGCCAAAGGCGGATCGATCAACATGAGTGCGCACGTTTCCTTTGCTGGTTCTTTCCTAGCTCGAGGGAACAGGATCTTGTGGGGGGGCAGAAATGGAGGAGCGCAGCAAGCAGATAGAATCAGAGAATATGTCAGATTCCGTTTTCTTGTTCTTGTTCTTGCTCAGCAGGCTTTTTGATGTGTTCGGGCCGTCTGTCGGGCTCGATCTCGGCATCGGGATGAGGGGTTTTTGCTCTTTCGATGCGTGGGAATTCGCGATCAAGCGTGCGCGCCGGGTCGGTATGGTAGATGGTCGACTGGTCCGTGATCAGGTTTTGTTGTTGGACATCGAACAGGGCGAGAAGAGGGACTAGATTTGCATAAGAATGACATTACTATCATTTATTTCGCACGGGTGATCGATGATTCGATGTTGTGATTTTTTTCCTTTTTGGTCGAAAGTAGATATTTTATTCATACCTCAAGATGATTAATGAGATGTTTAAAATATAACAAATCTCAAACAATAAAATAGAACAACAAAACACAAATTTGGTGTAATAAGCACACTTTAATCCTACAAGAATGGATCTGTCTCAACATCGAAATAGAAAAAGCGACGGTCGATCACCAAACCTCACATCATTATAAATGATAAGCACACACCATAATTTCCTTATCTAACAATTATGATTTGCCTAGTGGGTGGTGCGTGCCTAAGTTCAGCATCCTCGATACTATCATCGTAAGAGACATCAAAATAAGTTCAACAAGCTCCTAGATCTAAATCTAGATCAAGAGAAGTTGGACGAGCTCATAAACACTTTTAAGGAACTCCCAGATCTAGATTTAAATCAAGAAATAAGAGCTTTCAGATCCAGATTCAGATCGGGAGATAAGAGCTTCCAAAGTTCAGAAGTCGTATCATCGTTTTCAGGACAGTAGAAACGCACCGTATTCTTCCTTGATTCTGTCGAACTTTCTAATTTGGAGGATATGAAGAAGCGGGTTTGATTCCTAACGATGAAAGCGGAAAATGTACCGAGCGAGCGAAGAAGAGCATCGGTAATGAGCAAAGAAAAATAAAAACAAAAAGTTAGATGAAGATAATAAAATACTACCAGGTCAAATCGGGAGAGATAATCTTAACTCGAGTTAAGAAAATGGAGCCTCCCTCGACTCACGGTTATTTCTCGGTCGAGGGAGCTTGGAGTGGAAGATAAAATGAGAATTAGAGAGAGATTCGTGATTCAGTGTACCGCACAGAGGATCCACGCCGCATAGCTCACCGCGGATTTAAAGTGATGAAGTGCTCGTAAACGACGGAAAGGGCAAATTCCTACCGCCCCGCTTGTTGGACTTCTGCAATCTGATGGCCCCAGAAAGTCTCCAACAATCGCATCACCTCAATTATTAACATTGGTCATCGCTAATCGTCAACGTAAGACAAGATTCTTTAATTACCATGGTAGTCGGAAGAAGTTTTTTGTATTCTCTCGCTCAGTATCATGAACCAATTGAGACCAATTGCTGGGGGAGGCCCGTTCTCAAACAGATCGAATTCGAGCCTGTTTAGCTTGGATGGGGCCTGCCCATCCGATGATTGTGAAGAGACATTCACTCCTTTCTCAGTACATCTGTAGTGCCAGACTTTATGAGAGTTGTAACGCGAATAAGTTAAACCAAAGTCGAAATCAAATAAGCACAGAGAAGATAACTTCTGTTGATAACCCCGAACGTGATTACGGAGGTCAGACTACTTGATGGTTCGTGAAAAGCCCCTTGCAAGCTACGTCGATCGGTTTGATTTGGGCCTCTGGCCTGTGTTGGCGGCCCTAGCCCAAACCAGTTTGCATGAATTTGTGAGGTTTGAAAATCTTTGGGTTCTTATAATGGAAGTTCCCCACCGCTCCAATTAATGGTGTCCACTTGAGGTTGATGTGTCACACCCCGAAACTAACAAGAATGGGGAATGACAAGGCCGTCATTCCACTCGAAGGGCACAATCTCAAACAAAAACCAACAACCTATTATCAAAATATATATATGATAAATTAGCATGTTTGTTATAACATCAGACTTTCTATAATCCATCAAAAGAATATATGTACATCTCTAACTAACAATTAAACCCAGCAAACTCATCTCAATCATATGCAGCTCAGAAATATACAACTAACTAAGCTCCTAGCCAAAAAAAATCCGTCTATCAAAATGCCCTGGCGATAACGCAAACGCTTTCATTTTATTTGCCGCTAATCGAAGAACTTGAAAAGCATTCAAGACGAATGGTGTGAGCATCGACGGCTCAGTTAATAGTACATTTCTTCTAAGCAAATGAAACAATCACTATGCATATAAATAAACCAATACCAGCAACTCATACTCTAAACCCAAGATATAATATACATATCAAATCAAATATGAGTTATATCATTTTAACAAAGTTTATACAAATTAGAAAAAGTCATCTAATCTACCACCACAATTCAAATATCAATGATTAAGTCCGTTGATCAATCTCATCAAATTACAAGTCAATGGTTCATTTCATTGACCAATCTCAAATCGCATATCACCGATCAATTCCATGTTCAATATCCAAATCAAGGCTATAGAGTTGGCTCCCACGAAACTTATTTTATTGTGTACCACTTATTCATTGACCAACCTATATCGATATAATGCCCTAGTGGTGGCTCCCACGAGACTTGCATCACCGTGTAACACTTAGTCGTTGATTGACACATATCAATAGTATAAGGCCCTAGAGGAGGTGGCTTCCACGAGACTCGTGTCACCATGTAGCGCTTAGCCCTTGACTACAAGGCCCTAGAGATGGCTTCCACGAGACTTGCATCGCCATGTAGCACTTAGTCCTTAACTAGTCCATATTACAATTGGTGTAACAAACCAAATAATATAATCCTTCAGCCGATTCAACAAACAGAAGACATTTCACGAGTCATAAACCAAATTCACAAATCGATATG